GCCTCTGGGGTCTCCAGTGGATCTCAAACCATCTGAACACCCCCCAGGGCAGAAGGTACCCCCCCACACACACAAAACGTTTCTGAGTCAACAGTCAGTCCCCACCACAACAGACCCTGATGGCATCCCAGGGTTACCAGGAATCAAGGTTCCCAGGCATCTTTTCGTGAAGGATACCCTGAGAGCCCCACGGGCCCTGTTTGGCAAAGGCAGTCCATGCTCCTCCAGCTTTACCTTGAGGGGGAAATAAGCTCCTTTGTGTAGCACAGAGTGGGACTTAGACAGAAGACTTGGATAGCCAAAGACCCATTCACAAGAGCCAACCTCTCTGCACACCTGCCCTCTTGAGGTCCCTGGCTCCCTGCATCTGCATGCCTAGCTACCCCTTCACCTGTTTTGAGGAGGCCGGGTCTCTCTCTGCCTGTGCAGCTCTGCCCACACCCCAACCACCCACAGAGCCTCTTGGGCAGAGGGATCCCACCCCCAAGGATTTTTCAGAGGAGGAAGTTTGAAAGTGGTAGCAGTCAGTCCCCGTCGAGCCTGCCTGCCTGATAGGGTCCCCAGCTTTACCAGCAATCAAGGCTCCCAGGGGTCTTTTGTGGGAGGATACACCAGCCAGGTGGCCTCTGGACCAGTGCTGACAAGAGAGTCCAACTGCTTCTAGCTCGGCCTCCAGTGGAAATATGTACCGCTGTGTCAGCTAAGACTTCCAATGAGACTGACTTCAGGGACCCACATAGCAGACTACACCTGTGACATGGCCTCTTCCTACAGCTGCCTCCCCGCCCCCCTTCCAGGTCCCTGGCTTCCCTGACCTGCAACTTGCCAGCCCACCAGCCCACCTTGGCCTCCAGTCCTGTGGAGCTCCAAGTCGACCCCAGGGCATCAGAATGGCATCAGGGTGGAGGGAGCCGACAGGAAAACAATCTTTCTGAGGTGGGAGGTTGAACCTGGCCACAGTCATCCCCAGGTGGACTGGCTGCTTGAGGGGTCCCAGGCTTCTCCAGCAAAGGAGGCTCCCATGTGTCGCCAGGACATCTTGCCAATCAGGGCTATGGTGGGCTACTGGGGTCAGAAGCATGCTCTGGGGCCACGGTTCTACCTATGGTCTCCCGTTCCAAGTCCAGGCCTCCCTCCCAGGCCTGAGCAGCCTGTGTGTGTGCAGTCAGCCCTCCTCATTCACCTGCCCCCCCAACTTTGTGGGCCAAGCCCCTCGTGGAATGCTGGGCTCAGGCCAATGCCCCAAACTGCACCACCCCAGGGTGGAGAGTGGTTACTCCCTGAAATTCTTTCAAAGGCAGCAGCTTCAGACTGGCACAGACAGATCCCTTTCGAAACTGGGGGCTTCATGAGTCCCTGGGCTTCTTAAACAACCAGTGCTCCCTGGGGTCTGTGTTGAGGTCAGAGGGGTCCACCCGTAGCCTGCTCCAGGGCCAGGTTCTCCCTCCCTGTTTGCCTTTCCAGTTGCATGAATTGCCCTCAGGCCTGGGTTGCCTGTCCATGCCTAGTCAGACACCTCTCAGCCAGCCGCTGACTGTGCGTGCACAGCGGGTCCTGGACAATTAGGCTCAGCCTGACGGTGCACAGTCGGCCCCTCCTTGCTACCTAACCTTTGTCTGATGGTAACCTTGTGGGCTGTTGGGCGCAACTGTGACTCCCAAACCTACATACCACCACGGTCAAGAGTGGTTTCACCCTGAAATGCTTTCAAAGGCGGCAGCTTGAACCGGAGGCCCCACTGAGCCCAGGGATCCTCCAACACCCAAGGCTCCCAGAGGTCTCTGTTTGGATGGTCCCCAGAACATCCTGCACCACCCCACCAGATTCCTTCAGCTCTGCCCTTAAGGCAAATGCGCTCAGTGGTCCTGACGACTGATGAAACGAGGCAGATACCTCCTGCTCCTAACGGGCCAGTCTCACACACTGTCTCATGCCCACGTTACTGGCTTTGCTGCAGTTTGTGCTCAAGTATGCAGAGTCCAGCACCTCTTCCCCCGCATGAGGGCAGTGGGGCCAGTCCAGGCCCTCCAGGTCCCTGGCGCCATGATTCGCTCTGGAACCACTCCAACACCATCAGGGCAGAAGGAGCCCTCCCATCCCAAAGTATTTCTGAGGCGTCAGTCTTCACTTCACTTGAGGGGCTGCCCATGGGGTCCCGGGTGTACCAGGAATCCAGTCTCCCAACTGTCTTAGTGAAGAATACCCTAGAAACCACACGGTCCTTGCAGAAAGGCAGTCCACATACTTAAAGCATTTTATTCTGGGTGAAATACGTGCATTCTTCTAATACAGGAATATGAATTAGGCAGATGTCGGGGCCAATACTGAAAAACTTCTACCACATTAAGAGTCCAAGTCTGTCTGTACAACCTCCAGGTAGAGGGAGACCGCCCGCTGAAACGCTTTCTGACATGGCAGCTCTCAGCTGGCAACAGTCGCTCATCCTGCAGACAGGCTGCACCACGGGCTCCCAGGCGCTGCATTTGGCTGGCTCCCTGGTCAGTGGGCAGGCCCCAACCTGGCAGGGCAATCCAAGTCTTCCAGGTCTGCCCTAAGGAGGGATAGGCCCAATTATGCAGGTTAAGGCTTGGAAAAAGGCAGATGCCGTGAAGCCCCCCAACAATGTCCTCCTGTCACCCAGCCGGGCCAGACATTGCCAGGTTCCAGGTCCCAACCTCACCCCACCATCCCCATCCACACATGCACAGTCAGCACCCTGTGAGTGGGGGGCACTCCAGCCCCACAGAGGTCTGGTCTACCCCACCCATGGGCATAGTCTTCAGGGTGCAGGGGCCCCACACTCCGAATAGCCCTCTGAGGCTGCATCTGAACTAAGGACTATCGGTCCCTTTGGTACTGGCTGCCTCTGTGGGCTCTGGGGCTTCTTCAGCAATCAAGGCTTCCCAGGTATCTCTCCTGGGGGGTCTCCTGAAAGTGCTATTTGGCCAGAAGCAGCAAATGTCCTTCTCTTCCAACTGAATGACTCAGTTTCTCATATTTCTAGCCAGAAAATTTACTCAAGGCTTTTATCAATAACATCAATTAGTATAATGCCAAGTTAAAACAACCCAACAACTCCAACCCTTCTAGGTTATTCCCACCTAAAGAACATTACCAGTAGGGCACCTGGGTGGCTCAGTCTGTCGGGCATCCGACTCCTGGTTTTGGCTCAGGTCATGATCTCAGGGACCTAGGATCTGCCCACATTGGGCTCTGCGCTCAGCTGGGAGTCTGCTTGAGATTCTCTCTCCCTCATCCCCTGTTCGCACTCTCTCTCCCACTCTCTAAAATGAGTAAGTAAATCTTAAAAAAGAAAGAAAGAAAGAACATTACCAGCACCCTTCAACAGCTGGAATAAAAGTCAGGGCCCTCAACTCAAATTGAGGAGGTCAGGATATCAGAACTCACCCAACAAACCCATGAGGTGCTGAGAAGTCGGAGGGGCACAGAGGTCCGGGGCTGGTATCGAGTGTTGAGTTCCAGACTACACCCGCAGCTGTTCTCACAGAGTTGCTCTGATACCCTGCTAGCTACAACAGGAAATGCTGATGCAAAGTGAACACGCCTTTCAGAAAGAAAGTAAGAGAGAGTTTCATTGGAGCCCGAGGTCAGACAGCTGCCCAAGAAAGAAACACACTCTTCACAGAGAAGAACCCGCTCCGGAGAATGAACAGTTTTTACAGGGTTATATACTTTTTACATCTTGTAAAAGCTCAAAAGATTATAGATTAACACATTGGCAGGAATCACGAGTTTTATCATAAAGGAATGCAGACAGTAGGAGTGTTGATGGATATCACAAGGACAAAATGGTTTTCCTTTAGGCTACTCATTCACAAAGCAGATGTACAAGGAGAGTGCGGGAGGCCATAAATCAAGTTTGCGGTTGAACAAACTCCATATGCAGTTATGTTGACTTACAAACCTAAAATGGCTTCCATTAGGCTTTAGCGAGTTTTTCTCTCATCAGCACAGAAATGATACCTTCCACATAGCAGATTTAATTCCTGCCTTCAGTGAGAAAGAGAGGAGTCTGAGTGTCCTTCTTGCATAGGCTGTCTCTTAAGTAATTTTTATTTAAGATAATCAATATGTCGGGGAGCCTGGGGGGCTGGTTAAACGTCTGCCTCTGGCTCAGATCATGATCCCAGAGTCCTGGGATCAAGCCTCGAGCCTGCTTCTGCCTCTCCCCCTGCTCATGCTCTCGCTCTCTGTATCTCTCTAAAACGAATAAATAAAATCTTCAAAACAAAAAATCAATATGTCATTGTACATTTCCGGGCAGCCTGCCCTTAGCCCCCACATACCTGGGCCGATTCCTTATCCTCCACTATCCCACAATCCTGGACGGTCTTCAGCAAGAAACCTATTAGGCCATTTCACTCACAACCCCTAACCCCTCATATTTCCTCCTAGTAATTTGCTATCCACTGACCCCCCCCTCAACTCTGCTCCTTGGCTATAAATTACCAACTGGCACACTGTATTCCCAGTTGAGTCCAATCTGCCCCTCTCCACTGCAAAACCCTGTTGCAGGGTCCCTACACCAACTGTGGAAATAACCCCCAACCTAAACAAAGTATCCTTAACTGTGCTTTAACACGTGTCATTTTTTTTCCTTAAACAATTAGACATTTTCGGAAAGCTCTGACAGCAGACGTCGGACAACGGGAACTCGCCATCCACGGAGCACTTAACGACCTACACCGACACTCGGATGCCAGCCCCGCTTCGCCCCAAGTCCCGACACGGAGCCCGCGGCCGCGGCTCTGCCTCCCGCCGAGGACGCCCCGCGCTCTCCCGCCTGGCCTCCGCCACCCCCGCTCGCTCCGCGAACGCGCGCCCAGCGCAGCAGCCGCGGCGGCGGCGGCCGGGGTCCCGCCGGCCCCGCGCCCCCAGCCCGGCGCCTCCACACAACCGGGGGCCGTGCACACACCTGTCACCCCACCCGGGAGGCGTCTGCGCACGCACGCAAGAGGCCTCGCGGCTCGAAGTCTCACCTGGAACTGCCCGAAACGGCTCCCCGGAAGTGGGGAAGCAGCGGCCGGATCCCTCGGACACCAGGCAGCCGCCAACCGACCCGAGCGGCCAGCCGGCCGGCGCGCGGCAGCGAACGAGGGGCCGACCGGAAAGTCTGCGGCCGCCTCTTCCTACCTCCGTACGCACCCCGCCCGGGCCCCGCCCCACGCCGGCCGCGCCCCGGCCGCGGCCCCGCCCCTCCGCCGACGTCCCGGCCCGGCCCCGCGCTCGCCCTCCCCGGGCCCCGCCCCCACGCCGGCCGCGGCCCCGCCCCTCCGCCGACGTCCCGTCCCTGCTCCGCGCTCAACTCCCCGGGCCCCGCCCCACGCCGGCCGCGGCCCCGCCCCGCCGCCGACGTCCCGTCCCGGCTCCGCGCTCGCCCTTCCGGGCCCCGCCCACGCCGGCCGCGGCCCCGCCCCGCCGCCGACGTCCCGTCCCGGCTCCGCGCTCGCCCTTCCGGGCCCCGCCCACGCCGGCCGCGGCCCCGCCCCGCCGCCGACGTCCCGTCCCGGCTCCGCGCTCGCCCTTCCCGGGCCCCGCCCCACGCCGGCCGCGGCCCCGACCCGCCGCCGACGCCCCGGCTTCGCGCTCGCCCTCCCCCAAGCCCCGCCCCTCCGCTGACGTTCCGCCCCGGCCCCGCCCCACGCCGGCCGCACCCCGGTCCCGGCCCCGCCCCTCCGCAGACGTCCCGTCCCCGCTTCCTGCTCACCCTCCCCAGGCCCCGCCCCGCGCTGGCCGCGCCCCGGCCCCGCCCATCCGCTGACGTCCCGTCCCGGCTCCGCGCTCGCCCTCCCCGGGCCCCGCCCACGCCGGCCGCGGCCCCGCCCCGCCGCCGACGCCCCGTCCCGGCTCCGCGCTCGCCCTCCCGGACCCCGCCTCACGCCGGCCGCGGCCCCGTCCCGCCGCCGACGTCCCGGCTTCGTGCTCGCCCTCCGCAGGCCCCGCCCCTCCGCTGTCGTTCCGCCCCGGCTCCGCCCCACGCTGGCCGCACCCCGGTCCCGGCTCCGCGTTCGCCCTCGCCAGGCCCCGCCCCCTCCCCCTCTGGCCGCGCCCCCCGCCCCGGCCCCGCCCCACGTTGATCGCCCTCCCGCACGGCCCCGCCCCTGGTTGGCCTCGCCGCTCCCGGGCAAAGGCCCCGCCCTCACGTAATTTCCTCCTAACCCGGAAGAGGATTTCCGGAAGCGAAGGTCCTCCTCTGGTAAGTGAACTCTGGTCTTGGAGGTTTAAACCCGGGCTCCTCAGCCTCCTGCTGGCTCCGTTCTCCACGCCCGGGGTGCGAGGATTCCTGCGGGCGTCGTAGGCCCCGCAGCCGCCCGGGAGGCCCGCGGGGAGTCCGGCGTTGCCCTGAGAACTCGGGGCGCCGGTCCCTCCGCTCCCTGGTCCCGTAGTCCGAGTCTGTTTCCGGCCGAAGTCGCCCCGAGCCCTCCCGCAGAACCCGGTCCTCTCCCGAAAGCCTGCCGCCGCCGTCGCCCTCCCGCGGCGGGGGCGCCGTCACCGCCTCGGGGAGGCCCGTGCGCCCGTCAGTGACGCCCCGTGTCCCTGCGCCGCAGTCCCGCTCCCCGGGCTGTGTGTGACGGTGTGTTCTCGCGCCCGGTCCCGCGGGAAGGGGAGCCCCTCCGTCCCGGGGAGCGTCGCGGTGTGTCGGCAGCGCGGGGAGGAAGGGCGGCCAGGGCTCAAGGCGGAGCTACGCGGAGGGTGGGAGCTGGGTGGGTGCAGGGGCTTTGAAGACGCAGTGAAGGTGAGAAGAAAGTGGCCTGGGGGAAACCGCACAGCCTGTGAAGACAGATCCGCACGGGAGCAGGGACGCTCCAGGGACGCTTGACCTCCGGCGGCGGCGGGCGGTGGAAGGGACGTTGCAGACGCGCTAGATACGATTTTAAAGTCCTGAATCGCTCTCCCCGTTAAATTAATTGAGTCACATTCAGAGATGAGTCCACAGTGCTCGTCCTGTATTTATGTACTGAAAGCGTTCTGTCGATTAGTAAATAATGTTAGTGTTTGTGTGCGGTTGTTGGATACATTGATGATTTTTGTCTTCCCATTCAAAACCAGGTTTACGCGGGTAGTCTAATACTCAACACCTTCTTTTCTTCTTTTATGTGGTTTTTTAAAAGATTTTATTTATTTAGAGCTCCCATGAGCAGGGGGAGAAGCAGGCTCCCCGCGGAGCAGGGAGCCCGATGCCGGATTCGATCCCAGGACTCTGGGATCATGACCTGAGCTGAAGGCACACGTCTAACCAGCTGAGCCACCCAGGCGCCCCACTTACGTGATCTTTTTTTTTTTTTTAAGATTTTATTTATGTATGTATTTGACAGAGAGACACAGCGAGAGAGGGAACACAAGCACGGGGACTGGGAGAGGGAGAAGCAGGCTTCCCGCGGAGCAGGGAGCCCGATGCGGGGCTCGATCCCAGGACCCTGGGATCACGATCTGAGCCGAAGGCAGACGCTCAAGGACTGAGCCCCCCCAGACGCCCCGTGATCTTTTAATTATATGATCTGAGAGCTAAAGTTTCCAGCTAAGTATATGATTTCTTCAAATTTCCAAAACAAAAAGAAAAATTGTAGGATGGGCTGCATCATTCTGGAACTTTGTTCTAACATGTCTCATTTGATCATAATAAATACATTGCTCAAAGGTACTTCCATACTTGACTTTGTATGTTTTCCCATGCCAATAATTAGGTCTTCTTAACAATACATTTTCTGATGTATTGATGTGATATTCTGGAAAAAAAGAAATTAAAAGCTTTTAATCAATGTGAGTAAAACCATGAAATAGAGAAGTTGCTCTTGCTCAGGACGATGGAATACCAGCTGGAATCCTCAGGGGCAGGGATGAGAAGGGCAAGCCTTGCCAACACTGAATGCAAGCCAGCGCATGCATAAGGCCAGTGATGGTTTACTCTCCACTAGCCTCTCCTTCTCTCATCTCTACCTGACCCAAAACACACACACAGAGCACAAGGCAGTTGGGAAGGGAAAAACCAAGAATTTTAAAACAAGCACAGAACAGATACATCTCTTGGTAAACCTTGGTTCTGGGATGGGAGGGCAAAGTGCGATGGGTGTTAATGGGTGGGAGAGAGCCTGGGAGCTCAGAGACAGGAGAAGAGGAAAGCTCCACATCCTCCCTTGGTGATCCTGTGTTCAGCCTATACTGCAAGAGACTGCAAGGATTGTGACTTGAAAGGGAGGGTCACACAGACTCCTGTTCCTCTGAATGCCAGGTGACTGGTGGGCTTCACCAGGGTTCAGGGGTATTAAGAAGCACAGGGCAGACACTTGTTCCTCTCCATCTGCAAGTGTATCATCCCTGTTCCCTGGTGCTTTAGTAGACCGCAGAGGACCACCTATTCCACATGCTGATTCCCTCCCCACGTGAGTGTTGGAGCCCAGGAGTGGGACAAGTTATTCAAAGACCTGAATGGCACATTTTCCAAATTAAGGAGTAACATCTCAAGACTGATCTTGCCTGAGAGAGGCTCAGAGTAGGAGAAAGATGATGACTCTTCCTCTGGAAAGAGTTCACTTATCTGTTGATTATTCTCCCTTCTTCCTAAATTGCTGTTTTTAGGACATACTAATCTCTGACTCCCAGGTATCCTGCCTGACACATTTCCTCACCCACTCATGACTTTCCCTCCGTACTCTCCCGACTCCAGACCAATTCTATCTCTCTCTGACTAATCGACGTGGAACTTGTGAGGTGGCTCCATTTAGGGGATCTTCATGAGAAGTGCTTCATGCCCAGACACTGGTTAGAGACAAGGACCGGGCACCACGGTATCAGTGAGGTTTGCCAGTAGGTATTGTATAAGAACCAAATCTGGATGTACCGTTAGCTCTTTTCACACCAGGATCAAAGTGAATTAATCTCAAGAATACCAGAAAAATCCTGGAAAAGAATACCAATAAGGGGAAACTTGTACCTGATTGTATAATGTATTTGAAGCTTAACAAAGTGAATGTGTGCATTTTAGCTAGAAATATTAGTAATTTGCAATAGAAGGGAGAGATTACAAACTGATAGCCGTGACAAATTGAGATGGCACTTCAACACATGATGAGTGTTTTATTCACTAACTGCTATTTAAAATCAACCTAAATATATAACATAAAAAGGATTTTAAAATTGTTCACAGCACATCGATCCCAACACGCCATTACTCTTAATGGATCAGCAAAGAGTCGATTCCTCTGCAGGTTTCTGAAGGTTCCTACAGTCTGGGTAAGTTGGGAATTTGCTGGGCCAAGAGATGGCACCTTTCATGTTGTGATAGATTCTGGCCTGATGGCCCCCCAGAATTGCAAAAAAATCTTTATCCATGACCAACTCACGAGGTTCCCCCTCTGCAAAAGCCAGGAATTCATTATGTACATACATACGTGTAGATTTGGATGAAATGAAAACTCTTTATTTCCATTTTACTAATTACGTAAGAGACTGAATGTATTTTATTTTTATAGAGATACAATATTAAATGTTTTTGTAATTCATTTCTCATGTGCATTTACACACTATTTTTTATTTTGTAGTTTAATCATATATAGGGGCGCCTGGGTGGCTCAGTCGTTAAGTGTCTGCCTTCGGCTCAGGTCATGATCTCAGGGTCCTGGGATCGAGCCCCACATCGGGCTCCCTGCTCTGCGGGAAGCCTGCTTCTCCCTCTCCCACTCCCCTTGCTTGTGTTCCCTCTCTCGCTGTCTCTCTCACTGTCAAATAAATATAAAATCGTAAAAAAAAAAATCATATATACACAGACACATACTTTGTTCTTATAATGAAACCACAATCCTTTCTTCATGCCCTTTGCTTTTCATTTTTCCTGTGGAAGGCATCACCTATTTCACATTAAAAAGTACTTTATTCCACTTATTTCTAATATTGTATCATTGATTATTGTTTATTTTAATTAACTTGAATTGTGTTAAAGCTTCAGATAATGTATCATCAGAGGTAATTTGACCTACCTTCATTTTTTTTCTGTTCCAAATTGTTTTGGCTATATTGTCACCCAAAATCAAAATCGACACAAAATTGACTTTTAAGGTAATTCTCAGTTTTTATGTGCAATACCATGTTACTTTTTTTTTTAATACTTTATTTATTTACTTGTCAGAGAGACAGAGAGAGAGAACACAAGCAGGAGGGAGGGGCAGAGGCAGAGGGAGAAGCAGGCTCCCCACTGAGCAAGGAGCCCGATGTGGGACTCGATCCCAGGACCCCGGATCATGACCTCAGTGAAGGCAGACACTTAACCAGCTGAGCCACCCAGGTGTCCCACCACGTGTTACTTTTAAATTTGGATTGCACCAAATTTCTATAGTCACTGAGGTTTTTATGTCACAGTGTCCTTTAGTTTAAGAATTGATTTGATAGGCTTTACTCCTGTCATTTTGTGTCCTCAAAAAGTTCTTAAAACATTTTTACATGGGTATACAAAATGATTTCAAATGGGAGCTATAATATTTTGCTGTTGTAAGTAGACTTTTTTTTAATGTGTTTGGTTAGTTTTTAAATTACTGTAACTAAACAGAAAGTACTGATTTCAGTAGATTAAGCATAGATCTGTCCACTTCTGAAAATATTTGTATTAGGTATGATCATTAAGGATTCTTCTGTTCTTTGGAATTTGAAGTCATCTCTTCTGAGAGTAGCTGCGGTTCCAGTTCCTTGACTGTGTTTGTGTTTCCTGTCTGTTTCTCTTCGTCCTGACTCAGGCATCCTGGGCAGCAACCCTGGCCAGCCGCCTCTTCTCAGCCGTAACTTGAGTGGGCCTGCTTCTTTGCTGCTGAATATGTTTGCTGAGGTTTCCTTGATGAACAAGAAGTATTCCCCACTAGTTGACATGAATTTTAAAGATTCTCAATTATTTTGAAAGGTCAAGTGTTTTTATAAGGATCTGTTGATGTGATCTAATTATTGCGATATTTAAAATTATTTAAGGGACGCCTGGGTGGCTCAGTCAATTAAGCATCTGCCTTCGGCTCAGGTCATGATTCCAGCGTCCTGGGACCAAGTCCCACATCGGGCTCCCTGCTCGGCGGGGAGCCTGCTTCTCCCTCTGACCCTCCCCCTCTCATGTACTCTCTCTCATTCTCACTCTCTCAAATAAACAAATAAAATCTTTAAAATAATAAAATAATTTAATGAAGATTGTTTTCTACGATTGAATCTCTCATTATTGCACTAAACTAACTTGACAAGTTGTGTAAGTACTTTAACATATTGAGAGAAATCACAAATCATTTTATAGATGGAATGTGATATACATAAATTATATATTGAAATTGGCTAATTACATTGTTCTTTGTGAATGAATATTCACAACATTTTCTTGGAAATTAATCCATTTATCCTACATACACAGTAAGAATAGAATTCCTGTTTTTCTTACTTTTTTTTAAAGATTTTATTTATTTATTTGACAGAGAGAGAGATCACAAGTAGGCAGACAGGCAGGCAGAGGGAGAGGGAGAAGCAGGCTCCCCACTGAGCATGGAGCCCAATGCGGGACTTGATCCCAGGATGCTGGGATCGTGACCTGAGCCGAAGGCAGACGCTTAACAGGCTGAGCCACCCAGGCACCCCTCTTACCTCTTAAATTACTGCTTTTAAACGAATATATGGTCTGCTTTATTTGCCAGTGTTATTTTTTTCATAAGTCCTTGGTAATTGCTTGATTTCACTGTGCAAACTTCTATTCATTTCTGTCAAATCTGTTTTTTCATTTCATTCTTTAAAATGTATTTACTTCTTTTATTCTTATAACTTTTATAAATATATGCTTTATTTGTAAACATTTGAAAACTCAAAAGTCTTGTTTCCTTTTTCCTTTTCTTGGTTTATAAGTGTTTTTAAGCTCACTGAAAGTTTTGGCCTTAACTCTTATCCAGAGACTTAAAACTTGGAGCAGTTCTTGGTACAGACTACACTGTGCCCAAGCCAAGTACAAAGTTTACTTCTCTAATAAAATAGGTTATACAGTAACATAGTATTGCAAATTAATATTTATGTCTTTATTGTATTTTAAAGGCATTGAGAGAGGAAAATATTTTTTTTTAAGATTTTATTTGAGAGAGAGCACGAGCGGGGCTGTGAGGGGGCAGAGGGAGAAGCAGACTCCCCGCTGAGCAGGGAGCCTGATGCAGGACTCGATCCCAGGACCCTGAGATCATGACCTGAGCCAAAGGCTTAACCGACTGAGCCACCCAGGTGACCCAAAAATATTTTTTTAAGTGCATGCACAGCCTGACATAATTAGCACAAAGTGTGACTCATAGGGTTCAGTAACTGATAAATTTTAAAATTCATTATTTTGTTGCTACTTCCTTTTCTTTTGCTCTCATATGCTTCCACCTGCCCCACCAGTTTCACTATCAATACCCTATGCCAGACAAATGTATTATTCTTAAAATTAATCAAACCTTTGTTTTACTGCATTCTGCAGCAAGACTCATTTACAGACACAAATCTATTTGTTTCTTGCTTTCAGTTCTCCAGTGGATTCCTATTAGCTTTAAAAATTAAAGGGGTGCCTGGGTGGTTCAGTCGGGTAAGTGTCTGCCTTTGGCTCAGGTCATGATCTCAGGGTCCTGGGATCGAGTCCCGCATCGGGCTCCCTGCTCAGCAGGGAGTCCACTTCTCCCTCTCCCTCTGCCCCTCCGCATATTCATTCTCTCTCATGCACACTCTCTCTGTGTCTCAAATAAATAAATGAAATCTTTTTTATTAAAAGACCAGTCCAGTTACAATGCCGTTGATCCCTGAAATCTGCTTGCTTGCCTCCATCTCAGGTGCATCCCATAACTCTGCCTGCAGTGTGTCCTGGCCTCCTGGGGCACAGCAGGCTCTGCAGTGTGTCTACAGTGTTGCACTTGCTCCCTCATGGTGGGGGCGGGGGCTGAACCTATTTCTATCTTTGCTAACTTTCTAATGCTTTCCCAACTAAATTTTAAGGTGTCAGATAAATTACTTGTGCATTTTAATAGTGTTTCCCCACCTCCACAAATGAAATGCTTTAGTATTTGTACAGAGAATATTCTTGTCATTATTTCTTTAATCTCTTCTAAACTAGACTTACCTCCACAAGGATGATCTTTCTGCTTTATTCATCCATGTAATTTCACTGTCTGGTACAGTCTTTGTTCTTAGTTGACTTGGAACATTTATTAATGACAAAAGGAGATCATCACTTATTCTCAAGTACAAATGTTGCAGTAAATAGGTTAAAAAGACATAGAACAACAACAAAAGACATAGAACACATCAAAGGGGGCGTCTGTGTGGCTCAGTGGGTTAAGCGTCTGCCTTCAGCTCAGGTCATGATCCCAGGGTCGTGGGATCGAGCCCCACATCACGCTCCCTGCTCAGTGGGGAGCCTGCTTCTCCCTCCCCCTCTGCCCCTTCCCCTGCTTGTGCTCTCTCTCTCTCAAATAAATAAAATCTTAAAAAGAAAGAACACATCAAAGATACATGAAAATGAAAAGTTCATCAACTAACGTTTTACTACTAAAATAATACATACTAAAGATCTTTTACTGTCAGAATATTAAAATGTTAACGAAAATGACAAAGCATTCTTATGGCATCCTACCTAAAAGGAATATATATTACATGATTTTTCCTCAGAAACAGTGTATTCTTCTATAAAGAAATGTCTTAAGATTTTAGAATTTTTATTCTTTTACCATCAGTTTAAAACATACACTATTTAGAGATAAAAGTAGAAATTCCATGGTTGTCAGAAGGTGAGGGTGGGAAGAGGAATGGGAGTTGTTTAATGGTTTAGAAGATGGAAAAAGTTCTGGAGGTAGATGGTGGTGATAATTGCACAACATTATGAATGTATTAACATCATTGGACTATACACTTAAAAATGATTAGGGTGGGGGGCGCCCGCTGGCTCAGTCAGTGGAGCGTGTGAGTCTTGATCTCAGGGTTGTAAGTTCAAGCCCCACGTTGGGTGTAGAAATTACTTAAAAAATACAATTAAAAAAAAAAGATTAGGATGGTAAATGTTATATTGTGTGTATTTTGCCACAATAAAATGGAAAAATATCCTATTTCTAGTAAAATCAATGCTTACAGTGATCATTCACTCTGGAAATCATCTGTCAAAAAGAAAAATAAGAATCTGTCAAGTTATTAATTCATTTACTTAGGAAAAAAATCTCATTTTTTGGAAAGTGAGGGGAGAAATCAGAATGTGTGAGTTCAAAGGCATGGAGGTTTGAAATATTTAAGGAGCATCAAAGACTTATTAGTTACCAAACAAGAATGGTGTTGCCAGATACATTTGGAAGCTACTATGAGTTGTGACTTGACGTAGACAGGAGGGTCGGCGTCTCGGTCCTGTGTCACCACGTACAGTCATGGAATAGGCAGGTATGTGGAGTCACCTTCTGTTGGGGCCTTGATCAGCAGACGTAGTAAAAAGACATAAATAACATTAGTCTGGGTAAATATCTATGGAAGTGAGTAACTGAATTAAGCTGGGCAGTAAAAATGAGGAGGGCTGGAGGCTAACGTTTGGAAATTGGGGAATGCTGTGGTTCTCATGCAGTAGAGAACTTGGACACAGGATCTAATTCTGTGAAAAAGCAAGGACAGGTGGGTTGTAAAAACAGGGTGGGGCCTCTGATTGTTAATGTTAGGGGTACTATTCCAGGTAAAATCTAGGTGTGATGTGTAACGCTTAAAATTTGAGAGTAGGATGGGCGCCTGGGTGGCTCAGTCGTTAAGCGTCTGCCTTCGGCTCAGGTCATGATCCTGGAGTCCCTGGATCGAGTCCTGCATCGGGCTCCCTGCTCAGCAGGGAGTCTGCTTCTCCCTCTGACCCTCCCCCTTCTCATGTGCTCTCTCTCATTCTCTCTCTCTCAAATAAATAAATAAAATCTTAAAAAAAAAAAAAATTGAGAGTAGGAGAAAGGCAAGGGAAAATTCAAGTTCTGCCCGTAACACTTTTCTAATGTGCTTCTGTGCATGTATATGCTGGCATGCATGGAGTTTTGTCATACTACTAAAGCTTCCTGAAACTCTGATGATGGCATTTATTAAATTAATAATGAAATCATAATTAGCAGAATTCTTTTGAGGAAGAAATGAACAAATTATATCTCACAAGCACAGAATCACATAAAATAAAACTTTATCTTTTCTTGACGTGAGATACAAATGGGTAAGTTAAACCTACTTCTGTTTATGACTCATTATTATCACTTGTCCATGAAATACATTTATGTACTATGGATGTTTTAGGGGAGGATTTACAATTTATAAATGCTTTCACAGATACACAAAATCAAACAACGAAATTCAGGGAAGTTGCAGCTAATGCAGATTTCAGTGCAATTTTCTAAAACTTTAGCTAGAGTAAATAAACATCCTCCTAAAATCCTTTCATTCTATAATTTTTGGAAGTACTACCCTGTAAAGATTGTTGGACTTGACGTTGTGCTGTAACCCACATGTTCCTGTAATTTTCTGATGCAGGGGATTTTAAAGGGTAAATTTGTAAGATGGGTGTCTTTGATCGCTCAAAATGAAGTAAGTCACTAAATTAACTAATCTTACCATAAAATACATTTTTTTAAAGATTTTTTATGTATTCATTAGAGCACGAGCAGAGGGAGGGGCAGACTCCCCCCTGAGCAGGGAGCCTGATGATGCGGGGTTCCATCCCAGGACCCCGGAATCATGACCTGAGCTGAAGTCAGATGCTCAGCCGACTGAGCCACCCAGGCATCCCCATAAAATGCATTCGTAATAGTCTTGTTTCATAACCCAACCCATTCAGAACAAATCTAAAGGTCCGTGTTGGAGTGCTACTGCTGGAGACCTTCCTTGGAGGAGACAGTGATGGATGATACGTGTATCCAGAGCGGGCTGGGACAGGGAAGACTAGGGATGGAGTGAGACACCAGAGGGCTGAGGAGGAGTTAGAGAAGCTGCTCGTAAACTAATACCTAAGTGTGAGAAATCTCACAGTGCCTAACGTTTGCAGATGCCAGAAATGCTGTTTCGGAATCAGGAGGGAGTTGGCTTTTCACCTTCGTCCTGAACTGGGGGTGCTTCTGTCTTCCCTCCAAGCAACAAGAGAGCCTTAACTGGGGAGCCGCCCTCCCCTCCCCTCCTTTGGAGCACACGGCCTGCTTCCTGCTTCCGTGGTTCTGCTGGGGGTTACTTCCAGGGGGAGGGGTGGAGCTTCGGAGCGGGTGGGTATGGAAATCGTGGGCAGCTGGATTGTCATGGCTCCTTTCTCCTTCCTCAGCTTTGCCTCCTATTGGCGAGACTGTATGAGTGAACGTCCAGAAGCCACTTGACAACCGAGCTACGAAGAATGGACTCACAAGTGAGTAGGGAGTTACTCTTTCTACTGAAATAGCATGTCTGTTGCCATCATGTGGACGTAAATCTACCAGCAGTCGTGTTCTGAGTACACTTCAGTGTTTCAAGGATCTGAACTTTAAGCTTTCCATGAACTGTGGGATGGTCCTGTTTGGTCAAGGACTCATCACGGGGCAATCTCTTTCCCAATGTTATGCTGAGATATCTCAGCCTCGGTTAATGCCCTGTATTTTCAGGAGAGATGAGAGGTTTTTTTCATATCCATCCCATGCCCTAGTCGGCACCAAAAATTCATTCATTAACCATTTTATTGACTGTAATGGGCTTAGGATTCAGGTCAGTGCAGGTGATAGAGATGAATAAGGAGTAAAACTTTACAACCCAATAGGAAGGCAGATGTTCCCACACATGAGCTCGGTCAATCCAGTATTATATGTGCTGGGGCGGTGCGGGTGGGGGGTGCTAATTACTATTGAGCGAAAATAAATGATGGTCATGCCAGAGAAGCCAATGTGGAGTCATTCTTTTTTTTTTTTTTTTTTTTCAAATGTAAACTTCTTAAAAGTTTTGATAGAATGTATTTGTACTTTTTGAAACTTATAAAACTAAAATTCATTACTTCCCTTGTCCCAAATGAGGGGATTCTTTTTTCCCCTCTTCGTAATTTCCCTTAGTTCAAGCTTGGTAACTGGAAACAATGTATAGGGAGTATTGTTTTCTTAACTTTGAGTGTAATTCAGGAAAAGGAGTATAGGAGGTAAAATAAAACCTAAGGACCTCTGGAAATTTTTGATGAGCTGAAGAGATAAGAACAATAAAATGGCTTTAAGCATACTTGAACAGAGAGACAAGATAAAGAAAAGCACAATGATAACTGATATGTGAAGGGCCTCATGCAATAGAAGGGTTGGGGATAATAATATCCTTCATTACGGAAGTCTCAGAGCCTCTGGCTTATGCTCATGAACCACTTAGGCTTATACTTTATAATGAACACCTGTAATGTGAAGATAAAAGTATGTGCTGCTGATCTCATATCCTGTGTGAATTCTGTTCAGTTTTGCAGAACTATGGAGATTGCTTCAATACTCTGACAGTTATTGGATAATAAAACTAGAAGTTGTGTTTAAGAAATGTTTGCTATTGACATTTACTATGTCACTGGATCTTTAAGAACTCATAAAAGGTCATTACACCATTTCATGGATGGTGAAACTGAGGTCATATAAGGGAGTAATCGAATCAAAGTTCTTAAAAAGTGGCAGGTTATGTAATGAGTCCATAGATTTATTTGAAATTGGTGGAGACTAGTGTTTTAGTTTTAAGTTTTCCAGAGAGACTTTTATACTCATGATCTGGAAGTCTTAATTACAAGTTTATAGGGAAATCCACAGGTTATATCCACATCTCATTTGGTATCTCTATAATGAAATATATGTACTTCGAGTGTGTGTCTGGGTATATCTGAAAGTCCAGTGTCCAAGGTGTGCACTGAAAACGGACTGAGGCCAACATCCTGTGTGAGCTCTCTGTACATGCAGCCCCCACTTCCTTAGTGCCATCCCCTGTACCAACCTCCCCTGAGTATTGGCAGAGATGGCCCTGTCTGAAAACAACGTCCATCATCTTCTAGGAATTGGTGACCTTTGAGGATGTAGCTGTAGACTTCACTCAGGAAGAGTGGACCCTGCTGGACAGGTCCCAGAGAAAACTCTTCAGAGATGTGATGCTGGAGAACATCAGTCACCTGGTCTCAATTGGTGAGTCTCTTAGTGTTTATGATGTATGTATATGTCCGTTCACTCATTCATTCAACAGCTGTGTGGAAAAGATTGCTCATTTCTGTGATTTCTGAAGACTGTCTTCTTTCTTACCCACAACTACCTCACAGCAATCTTCTTCACATTTTACTTTTATTTGTCATCCCACTAGAATTTCATGTCTTTCTTACTACTCAATCTCCACAACAACCAAACAGTGGTGGGAACTCATTATTTTTGAATTGGTAAGTAAATATACTGACTTTTTTTTTTCCTATGGGGACTGATCAGACCACAGTATTTAAAAAAAAAAAAAAAACAGGGGCACCTGGGTGGCTCAGTCGGTTGAGTATCCGACTCTTTGTTTCATCTCAGGTCATGATCTCAGGGTCGTGGGATTGAGCCCGAATCGGGCTCCATGCTCAGTGCAGAATCTGCTTAAGTTTCTCTCTCCCTCTCCCCCTCCCCCGCCCCCAGTTTCTCTAAAATAAATAAATCTTAAAAACAACAACAGACAAATGGTTTTCCATGTAGAACCAAGATTTTTCTGGTGGAGTTGTATTACTGGATTCATTTAGGATATACTATTCAAACACTGTGAGAACTTGTATCTTCTCGCTGTGTTAAAATATTGAAGATTACACAGTTTATCTCTGAACTTAGTTAGGCATCAACAATGACAGGTCCTTAATGTCTTTGGGAAAAGTCAAGAGTTAAACTTCTGTTGGTGAAGGACTGTCCATGTTGTTTTCAACATACTCTTACCTGGGATGACTTTCAGAGGTTACCTTATTCTTTCTCATTAGTTGGTCCTATATTGATGATCATTCAGTGTTATGAGCACAGAAGTCAAAATTCAATTATCTTTTTTCTATGAACAGGCAGACAACTCTACAAATCAGATACGATTTCCCACTTGGAACCAGGAGAGCACCTTTCAAAAGAAGAGAGAGGTTTGCTGCAATGCCAGAGTCCAGGTGAGCTACAGTAAGAGCCTAGTCAGTGAGTGAGTAGGCCCTAAGAATCATCAAATGAAATTTAGTGGCTTTTTAAAAAAATAAAACAGTATGATAGGGGAAAATTTTTTTCAGATATTGTCATTCTACTTAACAGGTGTCAATTTCTATTCTGTCTGTGGGAAGGTAATAGTTATCTACTTATTGGAGTTAAAATACACAAAATGTCCCTTTCCATGATTCTCTTCTATGAAGATTTTCGCTCTCTTTTCCTCCCCAACTTACCATCTCCATCTTATTTTTCTCATATTTCAGTCCTGAAAAGGTCAACTGTTGATGTCCTTTGTGTTTCTTCTCCTTATGGTATTCCTTAATTTGACATTCTTTCCCATCTCTGTCAGTATTTGAAACATACTCAACGAGCATTTAGTGTCTTCAACATTTTAATTCCATCAATCACTATGGCAATTTTTTCCCCAATCATTTCAGATAGGGAAGATCATCTTAAAAAACAAGAAGTGATATTCATGCAACATATCTGCAAGAAGGACACAACATTAATCAGTGAAATGGTAAGCTTTAAGGGAATGAACCTGTGTTTCCAAATGATGTGGGTATTGAATAAGTAAGGAATTGGGCACAATTACCCAACCATAATTTAAGTTGAAATCAAGGGTTTTCACAGCAGGAAGTTTTGGTTAGTTTGATTTTAGGGAAGAAATTAATCTGAAGTCAAAACCATAACCTGAGGTCTTGTAAACAGACAGCTGCATGATCATGACTTACATACCTAACATTTGACACATAATAATGTCTTTAATCAGATATCTCTGCATTTGGGATGCTACAAAAAAGAAAATCTCTATGCTTGCTGGAGAGGAATACCCCCTGTTTATGTAACTAATCTTGAGACAATGTTGTCGGACTCTATCACTGAATGATGACTGTAGAATTTATATGTAGATGAAGGAGGGAAGGAATAAATGTGAGGGAATTTTTAACAGTCTCTCATTTCCTTTCAAAAAGCAAAGATCTCACACTCAAGAGGATCCTTTTGAATGCAATGATTTCGGAGACAATTTTACTGAAATACTAACATGGACTCAATATGTGGTACCTAAAATGGGAAAGAATCCCTATATCAGCAAAGAATGTGGAAAAGACAGCAGTTATTTGACATCTTTTAATACACATAAGCAGAGTCACACTACAAGTAAATCATACAAATGTTGTCAACGTGGGAATGCCTTTATTCAAAGCTCTGCCCATAGACAAACCAATAATACTCAAAATGGAGAGAAAACATTTGAATGTCATGAATGTGGGAAGGCCTTTGGAAAAAGTTCCAACCTTAGGCGACACGAGATGATTCACACTGGAGTGAAACCACACGGATGCCATCTGTGTGGGAAAGCCTTCACTCATTGCTCTGACCTTAGGAAGCATGAGAGAACGCACACGGGAGAGAAATCATATGGATGCCATCTATGTGGGAAAGCCTTCAGTAAGAGTTATAACCTTAGGCGACACGAGATGATTCACACCAGGAAAAAACCCCATGGATGCCATCTATGTGGGAAAGCCTTCACCCACTGTTCTGACCTTAACAAACATGAAAGAACTCACTTTGGAGAGAAACCATATGGGTGCCATCTATGCGGGAAGACATTCAGTAAAACTTCTTACCTTAGACAACATGAGCGAACTCATAATGGAGAGAAACCATATGAGTGTCATTTGTGTGGGAAGGCGTTTACCCACTGTTCTCACCTCAGAAAACATGAGAGAACTCACACTGGAGAGAAACCATACGAATGTCATCTGTGTGGGAAAGCTTTCACTGAATCTTCTGTCCTTAGACGACACGAGAGAACCCACACTGGAGAGAAACCGTATGAATGTCATCTGTGTTGGAAAGCCTTTACTGATTCTTCTGTCCTTAAACGACATGAGAGAACGCACACTGGAGAGAAACCGTATGAATGTCACCTATGTGGGAAAGCTTTCAATCACTCTTCTGTCCTTAGACGACATGAGAGAACTCATACCGGTGAGAAACCATATGAATGCAATGTATGTGGCAAAGCCTTCAATAGAAGCTATAACTTTAGATTGCATAAGAGAATCCACACTGGAGAGAAACCATATAAATGTTTTGTATGCGGGAAAGCCTTCAGTAAATATTTTAACCTTAGACAACATGAGAAAATACATGTAAAGGTAATAAATGTGGAAGATTCACCACCTATAGCTTCAAACTACAAACACTCTTGAGGGCTCAAATACTCAAGAAACACCATATTTATAATCAGTGTGGGAGAGCATTTATTCATCCTTATTACTTCACTCAACTGAAGGTAATCCAAAGTGGAGAGAATCCATATGTGGGTCATCTATATGACAAAACCTTTAGATAATGGACTGACACGGAAGGATGTAAATGAAGTGAGTGTGGAAGAATTTTCATCCACAGTTCCGTCAAACAAAATGGAGAAGTTACGTCAGAGAAATATGTCTGTAATCAATGCAGAAATACTTTCATTTATCCTTTAAACAAGCCAGTTGTGCAGGAAAGTCTGGATCTGTAATCACTATGCACTCATTCAATTTAGCAACTCATTTGGCATGCAGAAGAAATCTGCTGAAACAAGAAGTGACTGGAGAAAAAATCATTCCTAGGAAGACAAGAGAATTTTGTTGCCAAAGGGTTGTGTTCGGTGAGAACTAGGACATGAAGGAGACTGAGGATATTTGGAGTATCCTATTCCAGAATGCCTAGCACACTCACGCTAACGTCTGCTAGTGGCAAAAACCAGTCTGGCACAGCCGAGGGCTGAAGCAGAGGCAGCCCAGCCTTGCCCATATCCCTGACACAACAGCCACGGACGCACACGTCACCCAACGGAGGAGACCTTTGCATCCCGGTTCCCCCCACAGGCAAATGCAGAAAGCCGGGAGGCCAGAGGCCAGGCCGAGTCATTGGTCTTCACTCGCTTGCGTATGATTAGTCATCCTTGTTCACACGTGGCAAGAAAGAGAATGCAGGTGCTTATGATTAACTTATAACGTTACGAGTGAGTATGCAATGCCTTGTCAATCCTCACTTTATCTCTGCCCTTTGGTTTGAAGGTATTATTGATGTGTCCTCACACTAATTTGTTTTCTATGTGTAAAGTCTTAAACTCACCCATTAATGTCACCAACAGGACATAGCTTCCCAAACCTAGAACTATTGAATTTCTCCAGCTTCTCATGTTTCTTATAACTTCTATTTTGTGTAGTAATATTATAAATTTTCCTCCTAACTCCAATCTAAAGATAGATGTGGATTTGTTCATTGTCTTTTTTTCCCATCACCTTTCCTGCTGCTTTACAAAGATGTTTTTGTATTTTTTAATTTTTTAATTTCACACATTGTCTTCAAAAAAAGGAGACTGAAGTTGATGTGGTTTTACCCAGACAAGTTTATTATTCTCTTAGAGTGAGGAAACATCACTTCTTCCATCCAGGAATTGAAATAGACTCAGGCTAGGTGGCAGCTTTGATTTCATTCAGACATTCATGTCTTTCAGGTCATTCCTCTAGATTTACTGAAAACACCTTCCAAAGTAGTATAAACTGAGAAGACAAAACACTTTCTTTTCTTCTTTATCCCCACCTAAAAACCTATGGGGAAAAGGATCCCAACATTGGAGATTCTCTATATTTCAATCAGCCTATGTCAGTCCACATGTTTATATATCCATCTACTTGTTATTTCCTCATAGTGATTTTTTTGCCCATGATTTTCAGTGTCTATACTAAGCAAATTCCCCCAAGTGTGGAAATCAGATGGTCTCTTCCTGGTTCTTATAGTCCTCTCCGGTTTTACAAATCTCTGAATTTAAAACATCTAATTTCCTGTTCTCTGTCTTTTTTTTTTTTTGAGACAGAATGAGAGAGAGAGAGCGCACACATGAGAGGGGGGAGGGTCAGAGGGCAAAGCAGACTCCCTGCCGAGCAGGGAGCCCGATGCGGGACTCGATCCAGGGACTCCAGGATCATGACCTGAGCTGAAGGCAGTCACTTAACCAACTGAGCCACCCAGGCGCCCTCCTGTTCTCTGTCTTGTCTCTACTCAACATCTTACCTGGAAGCAGAAGCCTCAGTATTTTGCTTGAACAAATTTCCAGCTGATTTTGTTCTCAGTCAAGAAAAGCTGCCTATTTCTCTGGACTGTCCTTCCATAGTGTTCATTTCCAGATGCTTCAGTAGAAAAAGCCAGTATGAATAAGAAAATCACATCGTCGAGCTTCCCTTTTCTCAGACTGTATCAAGTCATCTGAAGAGGCTACACACTTCAGTACCTCTGAGCAGTTGCTTGTGTACTTTAGTAAGGTTTCACTGCTGTCACTGGTTAGTTGGTCCAGGACAAGCTACTCAGGGCCAAAACGGAAATAATTCACCTGGAGACATTTTAAACCGAAGAATGATTCATCTCTATTTTTAATGCATAATATATTTGTCAGAATTTTGAAAATAGTAACTATTTATATTCTCCAGTTTACAAGTTGGAATCACATTAAAACTTTGATACTTTCTCATGGGCTTAATTATCTACACTTCCCTAACTTCATTTCTTGGTACTGTGTTCATATCAAACACCCATAGGTCAGCCATACAAACCAGTTGTGCTGGGTTCTGATGGGAGGTCAGCATGCATTTCATTCCTGTGCCAAGTGCCTGGCCGCCTCAGCCCTGGGCTTCCATGTTGATGTCCAAGGGTGAAATACCCTATTATCAAAGCACACATGGGCACAGCCGGGTTTTCCTTTGAGGACTGTGTCAGCAATTGTGTGTGGGCAGAGGGCATATGGTGATTCTATGACCTGTATACAGTCATGTTTCCTTGTTGTTTCTGTGCCTTTAGAAGGCATGGGTCATTATGGTGTCTGAGAGTATGTGATCAGTGTGGAAGGTGCACACGTGACTGTCAGAACACAGGCACATGTTCTCAGATCTCCTCCGTGCACATGCACGACATGTCAGGGCTTGTGGGATCAGGGTGTGTGATGTCTTAGAGGGCACATGAGGTAGAAAGCGCCAGCTCAGCAGTGCAGTAAAAACCCACAGAGCATGCCCACTGGGGAGCCTGGGAGAAGTGAAACCAGAATTGTGGGGTCAGGCCTGTGGGACTTGCAGGGGCTCTGGAGAAGGGAAGACTAGAATCCAGGGTCTGAACAGTCCAGAGATGTGGGAGCTGTGGGCACCAGGGATGGGGCTCTGAGTGAGAGTGTTAAGCTGGGGCAGAATGGTGAGGAGTTATAGAGCTATGTGGTGGAAAGCCTGTAGGTTGGGGGATCAAGGATTCTAAATTCTCCACTAGGGGAAAGGACCAAAGCTACTTTGAAGCAAAACCCCAAAGCAAAAGTGTGAGGTGATACATACTGGTGGAGGAAGGGACAGGTGCAGAAACACCTGAATAGGGTAGGTGGGGCATGGACTGCTCACACTGACTACGTGTTTCTCAACGCCCAGCACCACCTCACCCAAGCCACACTGCCCCTGCCCCTTCCTGGGGGAGGCCCCTCTTTGACCAACACTACCCGCCCTATAGCTTCCTGTTGAGCTAGAAGCAGATTTGCTGGAGCAAAGGTACCACCCAAGTGGACCAGGTGCTCCTGTCTTTGAGACTCAAATCCTGCATTCACTGGTACCTCCCCTCCCCACCCATTCTTCACACCTGGTTGCAGGAGTCCCAGCAGATAGCACAGTCCACGCACCTGTCCATACCATCAGCAGGGAGACCCTCGAGAGGCTCAGGACACTGGCCGTTCCGCCACCAGGTCTAACTCACTTTGTTTCTAGTTAAAATGGATGGGAAGCTATCCCTGTTTGGACTTTCTGCCTTTGGGCTCTTCACTGTCTCCTGTCCCAATGCTATGACAAGTCACAATTAGGGAAGTGGATTATTGCCTTTCACCACCATCAACCCTGTTGGCCCTCCAGACCATCCCCCAGGTGCCATGCCATTCCTGGTCCTAGCATTCTGCAGACCCCAGTCCTCTCCTGAGACCCCTTTTCTGTTCTCCTGGGAACTGCACCCTGCTGTTTATCAGGCCTGCCCTTCAGGCTGCCTCAGGAAGGTCCTGGGGCTGCGGGGGGGGGGGGGGGGCACCAACCTCTCCTGTTCCAAATTTCACCTTCCGTGCTGTGTCTGGCATGGTATGTTTACATTCCCAGTGTGTCACTGGAAAGTGGGCTCTTCCTAGGAGGGTATCTTCAGTACATCCGTATGGATGTCTAGTCAGGTGTGGGATATGGGGGAAAGAACACATCAAAGAGGGAGAACAACAAGGGAGACAGAACGAGTCAGAGAAAGTAAGGTCGAATGAGAGTTAAATAAAGGATGGGGGGCAGGTGGATCCATTGGGCTCATAAAGACATAATAGCAAAATAAGAGTGATCTAGACAAGAATCAGTGGGGTCATCAGGGATGGAGGACAGAACAGAAGCCTTAACAGCGGCATAGGGCACAAAGGAAGAGCCAATGTCCTAATTACCATGTTTTTAAAATTTTTTTAAATTACTTCCCCCTCAAAATTTATTGTCATGAGGCCTCAGTGTTTTTCAGTATTATATACTGAAAATATTCTTCAGTCCTTGTTAAATAATTTTACATTATTTCAATATGTAGTTTGTAAAGACATTAGATTTTCATATTAACCAGTAAAACCTTGTTCAACCAGTTAGTCTTTTATCAGCAGCATCCTTGCTTTCTTTACGTGATCTTCTGACTCACTGAGCAGTGAGCTCAACATGACTGATAAATTGCACAGAGCCATGTCTATAGCAGACTTCTCAGGTTTTCCTGGATCTTTTACTTAAAATTTTCATGCAGTCAAACATAAAACCTTCCCTTCATGCCCTCTTTCTTGCCTTCCTGTGAAAGGGCTCCAACTGTTATTATAAAAAAAGATTACTTTCTGAAGAAACAGACTTCATCAACATGCCAGGATACTTTTCTACTGTCTTCCTCTCAAAGAACACTGATTAGACAATCATCCAGCATGAGAGGGCCTTTGTGGAAATTCGGGAGCCCAGCAGAGAAGTTCCAGCACACTGTTGGAGCAAGGAAATAAAAAGAAGTCATCGAGGGGCGCCTGGGTGGCTCAGTCATTAAGCGTCTGCCTTCGGCTCAGGTCATGATCCCAGGGTCCTGGGATCGAGCCCCGCATCGGGCGCTCTGCTCAGCGGGGAGCCTGCTTCTCCCTCTCCCACTCTGCCTGCTTGTGTTCCCTCTCTCACTGTCTCTCTCTGTCAAATAAATAAATGGGGTCTTTAAAAAAAAAAAAGTCATCGAAGACTAGGTGCATTAAAAAGGGTAAGAGTAACAGTTTCACTTTAACTGGATCACCATTCTCCCAAAATGGCACATCTCAGTGGCACATCCTGACCCATGTTTTCTCCCTTGGGAGAAAGGGAGAGCATCTAAGTGAGTGACCTGCTCCTCTAGCCAAAGAAACCCAGGTCTTCCTGCACTCCCTGCAATACCGGGGTGTGCTGCATGACCTGGGGCTGGGAAGCCCCTGTGAAAAGAGCAGGTGGAGGTCTTAACGGGGCAACGGAAGAGATGCAGATCCTACTAACTGCACTGCAGACTCCATCAGGAAGCCTGTCCATGAGCTGCCAGGGACACTACACCTCTGAACCCCCCAGTACTCAGTGCACATCACCCACACATCTCTCAAGCTGGCGGTCAGCTCCCTGAGTGCGCTCCCAACTGCGTCCAGAGTGAGCCTTGCAGAAGGCTAGAGAGCATGCAGACAACGCCGGCCCAACTCTGTGGGACTGTGCGTCAGCACAAAACGGGAGCACTCAGCACCACACTAGGGAAAGCAAAAGGAAGGCTGTCAGCACCTGGCCTGGCTTTGCAGTATCTAGAGAAGGCCTACAATCAGAAATTCCACAGCCCCCAAGAGGAGACAAGAAGTGCAGAGCACGACTATACGTAGAAAAGGTATGAGAGAGGATACAGCAAATGCAAGATTTATTTGTTTTTTGACCAAAGTCTGACAAGATTTAAAAGAACATGGGTGCCTGGGTGGCTCAGTCGGTTAAGTATCCAACTCTTGATTTTGTCTCCTGTCCTGATCTCAGGGTCGTGAGATCTAGCCCCACACTGGGCTCAAAGCTCAGCAGGGAAACTGCTGGAGATTCTCTCTCCCTCTGCCCTCTGCCCTTCCCGCCACTCATGTTCTCGCTCTTTCAAATAAAAAAATACATCTGTTTTGGGCACCTGGGTGGCTCAGTCGGGTGTCTGCCTTCGGCTCAGGTCATGATCCCAGAGTCCCGGGACTGAGCCCCGCATCAGGCTCCCTGCTCCGCGGGGAGCCTGCTTCTCCCTCTCCCTCTGCCTGCCGCTCTGCCTACTTGTGCTCTCTGTCAAATAAAGAAAATCTTTAAAATAACAAATAAATAAATCTGTTTTTAAAAAATTTAAAGGGGCACCTGGGTGGCTCAGTTGGTTGAGCGTCTGCCTTTGGCTCAGGTCATCATCCCAGGGTTCTGGGATCGAGTCCCGCGCACCGGGCTCCCTGCTGCTTCTCCCTCTCCCTCTGCTGCTCCCTCAGGGATGGAGGACAGAACAGAAGCCTTAACTTTTAAAAATGTGGTAATTAGGACATTGGCTCTTCCTTTGTGCCCTATGCCCCCGCTTGTGCACTCTCTCTCTCTCGGACAAATAAATAAAATATTTTTAAAAAATAATAAAATAAGCATATAATGTAGTTATATACCCAAATTCAGAATACTGCAATCCTATTATATGGTGATACATTAACCACTTACTTCCAGCATCAAGGTTAAAGGACAAAAGTACTGAGAATAACTATAGCCACCATAATTTTTAAAGGACACACAATGTGAAAAATAGTGACATCAAAAACGTAGAACATATGGGGGAGAGTAAAATTAAGTTGCTTATCAGCTTACATTAGACTGTTATATCTAGATGATGTTTTATGTAAGTCTTACGATGACCACAAAGCAACAGTAGATACACAGAAGATACAAAGACAGGAATCAAAGCACACCACTACAGAAAATCATCAATACACAAAGAAAGCGCAACACGAGACCTGCAGAACACCGAGAAAAGAATGAGATGGCATTAGTGAGTCCTTGTCTATAATAATTATCTAAGACATGAGTGGATAAATTCTACAATGAAAAGGCAGAGTGGGGGTGCGTTGGTGGCTCAGTCGTTAAGCATCTGCCTTCGGCTCAGGTCATGGTCCCAGGGTCCTGGGATCAAGCCCTGCATCGGGCTCCCTGCTCGGCGGGAAGCCTGCTTCTCCCTCTCCCGCTCCCCCTGCTTGTGTTCCCTCTCTTGCTGTGTCTCTCTCTGTCAGATAAATAAATAAAATCTTAAAAAAAAAAAAAAAAGGCAGAGTGGGTGACTGCATTAAAAAAATTACCCAAATAGGGCGCCTGGGTGGCTCAGTCGGTTAAGCGACTGCCTTCGGCTCAGGTCATGATCCTGGAGTCCCGGGATCGAGTCCCGCATCGGGCTCCCTGCTCAGCAAGGAGCCTGCTTCTCCCTCTGACCCTCCCCGCTCTCATGTACTCTCTCTCATTCTCACTCTCAAATAAATAAATAAATCTTAAAAAAAAAAAATTACCCAAATATACCCTACCTACAAAAGATTTGCTTCAGCTTTAAAGACACATACAGACCCAAAGTGGTGGGATAGGAAAACATATTCCAGGTCAACAGCAATCCTGAGAGAGCAGAGGTAGCTATACTTACATCAGACAAAACAGACTTTAACTCAGAAATTATAACAAGAAACAGGACCATTATACATTGACACAGAGGTGAGTTCATCAAGAAGATAGAACATGTGTAAGTATATCAAACAATATGATACTCAGACTAAAATGAACAGAATATTTTATAATGACAGAATAAAGACTTCCAAAATAAAATTAAAAACATGATAGCATGAAGTAAAGATTTCTATTTCACTGTATAAAGATTATAACTAAAATAGATCAAAGTGCACACACATGTGTACGTGTAACTGTGTGTGTGATAAAACTCGAATACAAAATATTTTGTAAAATTACATGAAAAATGAGCCACGTAGGAAAATACGTGAAAAATGAGCCAAGTAGGAAAATTAATTTACATGGACATGTCTATAAATACAACTGTATTAATAACATTTATTCAGTAACCAGTGAAATAAAGTTATTTTTCCTTATATACATAAAAATAAAGAATGTAATAATGAGGGCGCCTGGGTGGCTCAGTCGGTTAAGCGACTGCCTTCGGCTCAGGTCATGATCCTGGAGTCCCGGGATCGAGTCCCGCATCGGGCTCCCTGCTCGGCGGGGAGTCTGCTTCTCCCTCTCCCACTCCGTTTGTGTTCCCTCTCTCGTTGTGTCTTTCTCTGTCAAATAAATAAATAAAATCTTTAAAAAAAAAAGAATGTAATAATGAGTCCTGTTTGCAGCTGAGTGAGAAGCCCACATTTTGGTGATGGTTGACAGTATCACTGCGACTCTAGGCAGGGTCTGTCTTGCCAGAATCTATCAAACCATGAATGCACCATACTTCACACCAGCACTCAGACTCCATCTTGCCCAGAGCATAGGAGCACACGGAGCTCCTCAGAGAAGTCACTGTGCTTAGAGGCAGCCACTGAACGATTCTTTACAAATCCAGTAACGTAAGGTCTCTGGAATGTATGTGTTGTGAGCTATTTTTAAAACTCCTACTGTTAGACATTTAGGTTGAGTTCCTTTTTTTTTAAGATTTTATTTATTTATTTGACAGAGCACAAGCAGGGGAAGTGGCAGGCAGAGGGAGAAGCAGGCTCCCCGCGGAGCAGGGAGCCCGATGTGGGACTCGAACCTAGGACCGTGAGATCATGACTTGAGCTGAAGCAGACGCTTCACCAACTGAGCCACCCAGGCGCCCCTGATTTCATTTTTAAAAAGCAACTGTGGAATAAAACCCATCCCATCACGTGGATTAAATGAATGCAACCTTGATTTTCATGATCAGTTTCTGCATTCTCCCACTTTATTCCAAGTAATTAATATTTTGAGGCCAGATCCACACAGGCTCACTTTGCTAAGGTTGGAATGCATTATAAAGTCAGGGAGATCAAATTTTCCATTACCAATCTTATTTTCCAAGATTTTCCAGCAATTCCTGCACATTAATTAGTCCTTATTCATAGAGAATTGGCAGGGCATCCTGCTTTGGTCCCTAGGAAATCCCTGCTACCCTACCTCATTGAAACCATAGTACTCACCCCATCTCCAAACCCTATCTGAACATGAAGTCCTTCCAACGATTCAATGGAAATGCTTCACAAGTTTGATGTCAGTGGTTCATGGTGAGATGGAATCTGTCTAGAGATGGAAGAGGGTTCAGAAAACACCATGAGCGACTGTGAGCAAATGTGTTAGGTAGGGTACTTGAGAGCTGAACATTAGTAGGGTCTAAAATCGCATTTCAGAGGGAGAGGACGTAACAATCAACAGAGAATATAATTTTTCTTCGAAGAAAGAGGCATTCCTGACTCCTGCTCATCTTCCTTCTTGTCTGAGCTTCCTTCCGAGGCAAGATCACTCTTAACTCACTCCTGAGTGTTGAGACTATGCCTTTCAGGGCTTGGAATCAATACATCTTCTTGTGCCACAACCATACATATCGGGAGTCCTCTTTCTACTGAAACATGGGGACACCTCCCACACTCCTACACTGTATCATATGGATGGAGGTTTCTGTGATTTGTCCCGCAGAACCTTCCACCCCGACCTGCACGAACGCAGGCAGGCTAAACGACGATGTGCGTGAGACTCCTGCTGCATGAGTGACCTCGGGAGCCCGGTTAGTGGACATCAGCTGGCTTCCAGGTCAGAACGGGCCCTTCTGGTCTGGACGCCAAGAGCTGTAAGTCTCCAGGCTGGGCTGTACCCCCGGACTGGAATCTGGGAGGGAGGCAAACAAACACAGCCCAGACTCCTTGACGATGCAAAGACGTGATAGCACAGAAATGCAGCTCACTCCAAACTGCACGTAGGCAAACAAATGTTTAACTTCAGACCCCGTCCTGTGCCCTATAAATACAGCCCTTGTGGGGATGGTCAGTGGGAAGTTTCAGCTGAGGGGAGGACGGAGGACGCTCCGCCCAGGCCTCTCCACCAGGACTGCAGCCCGGCTGTTTCCACAGGGCTTCCCCAGCTGATGAGGTTGGATGTTCTAAGTACCCGAGTTGATGTAACTTTGTCTTGTTCTCCTTTACTGCTTACTCCTGCCCTCATCTATGTGCAGATCTCCCTTTTCTTCTTTCGGTTTCTATTAGATTTTTATAATATCAATGGAGTGTTTTTTCCCCTTTGAAGCGGAGTATGGCTGCCATGAATCTTTTCTTCAAAACTTGCATCGACAATAAACTTCAACATGGAGACCCAGAGACTGGTTTTTCTGTTTCTTCAGAAAGTCTTCCTATCCTAGTGAAACCCACAAGTCACTTGGCAGCAGTGGGCATGTGACTGAAATCAGACACTGAAGACACTGCTAGTACCTGCTGAGCATAGATCTCCAGGTGAAGACAGGCAGAGATTTTCATTTCTCCTATTTTGGAGCTTCCCAGTGTCCCACCCACTCCTGGTTCCTTAACCCCCTCTGCATTCTTCTTTTCCTTCCCCAAGCTCAGGACACATCACTGGGTGCCCCTCTTCCTGGGAGAGACACCTATGTTCTGTGCTTAGTGTAAACAATCTTGGTCCTCACCTACCCAATGGCCCTGGAGCCCCGTTCATGTGTGTTGGGACAGGCAAGGAGGTCAGCAGAAGCCGCAGGATGCAACCACCAGCACCCTCGCAGGACAGGCTTTCTCTTCCCAGCCCTACCTCCACAGATTACAGGACGTATCTCATACTCCTCAGCAACTTCTCTCTCATGGTTTTAATCATAATGATCTCAAGTAGCTCTCTTTGCTCAAACATCACATTGGACTCTCAGAAAATATGAAGTTAAGAACTAATTACTGGCACTGGAAATCATGAAGGATAGCCACCCATGTAAACAGCTCTATGTGATGTATTCATCCTGAACAGATGGGCTTGGTTAGAACAAAACATCCCTATCATCCAGCCCATCCTTGAACATTCACTAAGAAAGGATAAAGGGAGCACATACTTAGTGGGAAACTTCAGTTCACAGCCCACAAGGTTAAAAGATCACATAAAGAAAATGTATTATTAGACAAACTGCTTAAACAAAACTTTGGTGATGCCAAAATAAAAAATAAAAATCACTATCCTTAATAAATGCACATTGAAAGAGTGGAAAATTATTAAGTTCCAAAGAGTATTTTCAGCATACAACAAAGAGCGGAGAACTACTGAGTCTTCATAATCCAAGTGTGACACTATAAATGTAGAAGATAAAAAACAAACTATGACTCTGGTGTCTAACCCTTCGGTCATCCGCCCCTCCTCCATCTCTATGCTGAGCCCCTTTCTGTCCCTTCTCCGTGCTGCTTGCCCAGATCGCTGTCCTTCACCTTCCGAGGGTGCTCCCCTACCGTCAGCCCCTCTGCATCCCCACCAAAGTGCACACGAACCCGTCACCCACTCTGCACCCCTTCCCCAAGTGCACACGGGCCGTCACCCCTCTGCACCCCCTCCCCCACGTGCACACGGACCCGTCACCCCTCTGCACCCCCTCCCCCACGTGCACACGGACCCGTCACCCCTCTGCACCCCCTCCCCCACGTGCACACGGACCCGTCACCCCTCTTCGCCCCCTCCCCCAAGTGCACACGGACCCGTCACCCCCTCCCGTGGGCCCTCCCCCACGTGCACACGGGCCCGTCATCCCTCTGCACGCCCTCCCCCAAGTGCACACGGGCCCGTCACCCCCTCCCATGGGCCCTCCCCCACGTGCACACGGGCCCGTCATCCCTCTGCACGCCCTCCCCCAAGTGCACACGGGCCCGTCACCCACTCTGCACCCCTTCCCCATGTGCACACGGGCCGTCACCCCTCTGCACCCCCTCCCCCACGTGCACACGGACCCGTCACCCCTCTGCACCCCCTCCCCCACGTGCACACGGACCCGTCACCCCTCTGCACCCCCTTCCCCACGTGCACACGGACCCGTCACCCCTCTTCGCCCCCTCCCCCAAGTGCACACGGACCCGTCACCCCCTCCCGTGGGCCCTCCCCCACGTGCACACGGACCCGTCACCCACTCTGCACCCCTTCCCCATGTGCACACGGGCCGTCACCCCTCTGCACCCCCTCCCCCACGTGCACACGGACCCGTCACCCCTCTGCACCCCCTCCCCCACGTGCACACGGACCCGTCACCCCTCTGCAACCCCTCCCCCACGTGCACACGGACCCGTCACCCCTCTGCAACCCCTCCCCCACGTGCACACGGACCCGTCACCCCCTCCCGTGGGCCCTCCCCCACGTGCACACGGGCCCGTCATCCCTCTGCACGCCCTCCCCCAAGTGCACACGGGCCCGTCACCCACTCTGCACCCCTTCCCCATGTGCACACGGGCCGTCACCCCTCTGCACCCCCTCCCCCACGTGCACACGGACCCGTCACCCCTCTGCACCCCCTCCCCCACGTGCACACGGACCCGTCACCCCTCTGCACCCCCTCCCCCACGTGCACACGGACCCGTCACCCCCTCCCGTGGGCCCTCCCCCACGTGCACACGGGCCCGTCACCCCTCTGCACCCCCTCCCCCACGTGCACACGGACCCGTCAACCCTCTGCACCCCCTCCCCCACGTGCACACGGACCCGTCACCCCTCTGCACCCCCTCCCCCACGTGCACACGGGCCGTCACCCCTCTGCACCCCCTCCCCCACGTGCACACGGACCCGTCACCCCCTCCCGTGGGCCCTCCCCCACGTGCACACGGGCCCGTCACCCCCTCCCCTGCGCCCTCCCCCACGTGCACACGGACCCGTCACCCCTCTGCACGCCCTCCCCCGTCCCGTCCCCCCACCCCCGCGCCCACCTCCACCTGAGGGCCTCCGGGGGAAGCGTTGCCCGGCGGAACGAAAACACACCCTGGCAGGCACAGGGCAGGCGGTGTCCCGGGCACAGCCGGCCTTCCCTCCCAGCTCCGGGCTCTGCCGCAGGACCGGGCCGCACCCCTGCCGCGCAGCGCGGCTCCCCACCACACGGAAGCTCCCACCTGCAGGCGGAGCGGCGCTTCCGGACAGCGCTTCCGGGTCGCGGGGTCGCGGGTCGCGGGGCCCCGAGGAGGGCGGGGCCAGCGGGAACGGTCCCAGCACTTCCGTCCTCCGGGCCGCGGCGCTTCCGGCCTGGGCCTGTGCCCGCGGAGTCTGACGGTCCGGCTTGCGTCCGCGCGGGCGGGCAAGTCCTCCAGCTGCTTTAACGTTAGAGCACGCAGTGGTCGACGTAATAAGCGCTGAGGGGTTTCCTGCCACCGCTTGGAAGGGGCTTGCGTCACAGAAAGCTTTTCCTCCGTGTTCCCGGGAGCGCGGCCCGCCCTGGGCCAGGGCGGGGAGAATGCGGGGCCGGACTGTTTCTGGTCCGGGTCCGCGCAGAGGTAGAAACACAGACGTGCCCGCGCAGTCCTTTCTCCTTTCCATTTGCTTCGTTCTGCTCAGAACTTGTAGAGGTGATTTATAAATTCTTTTTTTTTAAGATTTTACTTATTTGAGAGAGAGAGAGACAGAGCGCACAAGAGGGGGGAGCGGGAGAAGCAGACCCCCCGCCGAGCAGGGAGCCCGACGCGGGGCTCGATCCCGGGACCCCGGGATCGTGACCTGAGCCGAAGGCGGTCGCTTAACCAGCTGAGCCACCCAGGCGCCCTGATTCTGCATTTCTTTTTTCTTTTTTCTTTAAAGATTTTATTTATTTATTTGAGAGAGAGAGAATGAGAGACAGAGAGCATGAGAGGGGGAGGGGCAGAGGGAGAAGCAGACTCCCCGCCGAGCAGGGAGCCGGATGCGGGGCTCGATCCCGGCACCCCGGGATCATGACCTGAACCGAGGGCAGTCGCTTAACCAACTGAGCCACCCAGGCGCCCCTTTTCTTTTTATTATTATTATTTTTAAAGATTTTATTTATTTATTTGAGAGAGAGAGAATGAGAGACAGAGAGCATGAGAGGGGGAGGGGCAGAGGGAGAAGCAGGCTCCCCGCCGAGCAGGGAGCCCGATGCGGGGCTCGATCCCGGCACCCCGGGATCATGACCTGAGCCGAGGGCAGTCGCCCAACCGACTGAGCCACCCAGGCGCCCGATTTATAAATTCTAGTATCTTCGGGCTCCCATCCCCCTCCTGAGGACAGGAGCACATGAGGGGGTAGAGGCACTAAGTGTATATGCTGCTTCCCGGTGCCCAGTTGGCAGTGGAGGAAACAGTCCAGAAGTGGAGAGTGGGGCACGGTGAGCACAAACGCAACGAGTGTGTGACCGAAACCCATCGGCGAATGAGACCCTCACGCCCAGACTGACGCACAGCCTTCGGAGGCCTGGCCTCAGGCGGAATCTCCAGCCCTTTCCAAAGACACACCTCCACGCACTGGGCAACGGAGTCACCACCGAACCCAGATGGCCCCACCGTGTCCGTCCAGGGGGGACCACGAGCTGCCGGGGCGTATAGCGGGTTAAACGACGGCGTGCCGAGGACCCCAGCGCGTTGCCTTGCCCACAGCATATCCCAGCGAGCCTGAGAGCACATGGTAGATGCTCGGTCATGTTTGTTCTAATGAATGAATGCACGGGGGTTCTCAAATACTGCCTTGCTCAGACACTACTGACTTCCCTCGATTTAATCAGGGTCAGCAAAAAAGACAAGGGCAGGAGGACTAACGGGCCTGTCACTGGAACCACATCTGTGTGCGCTGAGAAATGATGGTTGAGCGTAAGGGACCGTGTGTGCTGTGCTCTTTCCTTAAGCTTCGTGCTACTTGAGGGGGTGTCTGGGGGACCAACATCTGCACCAGCAGTGACTTGAAAAGTGAAATTTCGGGGCGCCTGGGTGGCTCAGTCGTTAAGCGTCTGCCTTCGGCTCAGGTCATGATCCCAGGGTCCTGGGATCGAGCCCCACATCGGGCTCCCTGCTCGGCGGGGGGTCTGCTTCTCCCACTCCCACTCCCCCTGCTTGTGTTCCCTCTCTCGCTGTCTCTCCTCTCTCTAATAAATAAAATCTTTAAAAAAATAACAATAAAGGGGCGCCTGGGTGGCTCAGTCGTTAAGCGGCTGCCTTCGGCTCAGGTCATGATCCCAGGGTCCTGGGATCGAGCCCCACATCGGGCTCCCTGCTCGGCGGGAAGCCTGCTTCTCCCTCCCCCACCCCCCCTTCTTGTGTTCCCTCTCTCGCTTTCTCTGTCAAATAAATAAAATCTTAAAAAAAAAGGGGGGTGCCTGGGTGGCTCAGTCGTTAAGCGTCTGCCTTCGGCTCAGGTCATGGTCCCAGAGTCCTGGGATCGAGCCCCGCATCAGGCTCCCTGCTCGGCGGGAAGCCTGCTTCTCCCTCTCCCACTCCCCCTGCTTGTATTCCCTCTCTCGCTGTCTCTCTGTGTCAAATAAATAAATAAAATCTTAAAAATAAATTAATAAATAAAACGTTTTAAAAAAAACACTCAACACCTGTTAGCAAAAAAAAAAAAAAAAAAAAAAAACCATTTCCACTGTGAGAAAAACAGAATCAGTCTGTATGCAGTGCTTTCCACAATTTAATATACATAAGATCCACTAAGGAACATTGTTTATATGCATACCTTGATGCACTGGGCTGAATTGTGCCTAAGATTTCATGGGGTTCTACCAAACTTCTTTTTATTCCCAGATAAATAAACTTTGATGAATAAAACTAATTTATAAAATGATCTTCAATGCTGAAAAGTTAATATACCTGTATATCATATCTGGGAGAATTTTATTAATATTGAAATAATTGTATGTATTTATTTTAAATATTTTATTTATTTGGGAGAATTTTATTAATACTTTTTTTTTTTAAGATTTTATTTATTTATTTGACAGAGAGAGAGCACGAGCAGGGGGAGCGGGAGAGGGAAAAGCAGGCCTCCCGCGGAGCAGGGAGCCTGAGGCAGGGCTCCATCCCAGGACCCTAGGACCATGACCTGAGCCAAAGGCAGACACTTAACCATCTAAGCCACCCAAGTGCCTCTTATTTATTTTAAAGATTTATTTAACAGAGAGAGAAAGAGAGAGAGAGTGCACAAGCGGGGGGAGGGGCAGAGAGAGAAGCAGACTCCCCACTGAGCATGGAGCCCCTGGGGCTCGATCCCAGGACCCTGAAATCATGACCTGAGCCAAAGGCAGACACTTCACTGACTGAGTCACCCAGGCAGATCCTGAACTAATTTTTGAAATACTTATTTACAGGGGCGCCTGGGTGGCTCATTCAGTGAAGAGTCTCCCTTCAGCTCAGGTCATGATCCCGGGGTCCTGGGATGGAGCCCCGCATTGGGCTCCTTGCTCAGTGGGGAGTCTGCTTCTCCCTCTCCCACTCCCCCTACTTGTGTGCAAGCTCTCTCTCTCAAATAAATGAATCAAATATTTTTTTAAAAATAAAGACATTTATAATGATGTTTAATAACCGAAACATACAAGACAACAGTCTATTGCCCAAAATGGTTCCCACTGAAACACTTCAACAGAGCCAAAAACGCTTGTCTCTGGACAGGTCACTGCTTAAAAGATGCACACCACATAGGCTGGGTCCTCTTCCCAGATTTTATCAAAATGTAATCATTCACAGACCCAAAGCAGGTTAATTTCATGGCATTCTATTTACAGTATAGTTTAAAACCTCCTCACACAACCTGACTCATTTTCAGTAAAAGCCGTTAACAGTTCAGTAAGTTCCAGTCAGAACAGTTAAGTTTACGCACTTAGGCGGCGTCTGCCGCGTGTCCCCCGAGCGCGGCCTGGGGTCCCACCGCCGGCACACATGCGGGAGCTGGGAAGCTCTGCAGAGCCGGAACGGCGGCCTCCTCGCTCTTCGCCCCTGCGGATGCGACAGTCCCGCCCACGCCCCGTGAGCCTGGAGGCTGAGCTCACCTCCTGCGCGGCGTCCCGCTCCGGCCGTCCTTCTCGGAGGGGTTCTGAGGACGCTCAAGGGGACATCGGGACAGTCTGGGAAGCGGAGGGCTCCGGCCTGGGCCGAGCGCACCGGGGGCGGCGCGAGAGCTGCCGTGGTCTGGAGCCCCGCTGCGCACTGTCCGACGTGGGGAGGACCCTTCGGAGGGACGGCCGAGAACGTGGCCGCCCGGTGACGATGAGGCCCAGTGCGGGTCCACAGGGCACTCAGGCGGGTCAGCGCTCTGCGCCCCAGCGCGCAGCTTCCTGCCACGTGGGGGTTGCTTTTGGTCCGAGGCCAGTTGCGATGGACAAACCTGCAGTCTGCACAGCCTCCAGCCTCCAGTCAGGTCTCTGAGAGCGCTCCTGCGTGATCTGGAAGGGACCAGGTCTTCGTTTATTTGGGGGCTTGGGGGGAGTCCGATGGGCATCTGGTCAGGTCTCTGGCCCAATGCCTGGAGGCTGAGCTTGGAGTCCTGGCCCAGGTTTGAGTTCGTATTATGACACGTGATTAGGACGAGGCTCAGGCCATGTGTTTTAGGGGCAAACCTCAGGCCTGTCTGTCAAGGTGATGATGAGGGCAGGGTCCTGGCATATCCTGACAGCCACGTCCGGTCCGATCTTCTGCCCGTGGTGGGGTGACGCTCACTTCAGGCCTTTTAACGGGAGACCCTCCAGGGCACATGGATCTCACAGTAGGTTTCTTTCCTGGCAGCTGACTTGTGAGAGGGTCCAGGGTCCATGTCCGCTTCGTTGTGTCGACAAGCATGGGCCTGATTGGAGGCTGTGGTAGAAGACACCACACACACACGTATGTAGTGTTATGTATGTGCATATGTGTGTATGTATGATGTACATGTGTATGTACACACAGTTGAATTGCACCGGACACTTACACATGCCTTGTTTTCAACACCGTAACACACTGTAAATGTATTTTCCTTCTGTTTTCTTAATATCAGTAATGTCTTTTCTCTGGCTTACCTCATTGTAAAAATACAGTGTATAACACATATAATGTACAAATATCACGTTATCTCGGTAAGTCTTCCAGGCAACGGTAGGTATTAGCGGCTCAGTTTGAGGGGGAGTCAGAAGTTACACGTGGATTTCCAGTTGGTGATATATGTGTTAATTAACTTGACCGTGGAAATCCACCACTATGTATACATATGTACATGTATATCAAATCATGTTCTATAATTTAAGTATATCCCGCTGCAATTTGCTAATTATACCACAGTAAAGCTGAAAAAAACAAAAATTTTATTTAAAATGTTAAAACAGGGGCGCCTGGGTGGCTCAGTTGGTTAAGCGACTGCCTTCGGCTCAGGTCATGATCCTGGAGTCCCTGGATCGAGTCCTGCATCGGGCTCCCTGCTCGGCAGGGAGTCTGCTTCTCCCTCTGACCCTCCTCCCTCTCACGCTCTCTGTCTCTCATTCTCTCTGTCTCAAATAAATAAATAAAATCTTTAAAAAAATAAAATAAAATAAAATGTTAAAACATATGAATATTATGTATACATATATTACATATACATATATACCCACACACATACAAGCAAAAAAGTTCAATAATA